TTTAATTTTGCTGCACTGCAGATACTTTTATCCAATGGGCTTCTGTCTCACATGCACACAGATACTTCTATTATAATTTCTAAACTCTGAGTTTATTCCATGCAACCACACCCCTACATTATAAACCCTTTACCATCTTACCCATCCAGTTTCTCACTTACAAGTAAAGAAAGAGAAGTTTATTATTTTTCTGCTTTATGGCTGTGTATTGTATTTTTGCAGCAAGCTTCTTCCAATACTGCAGATCAAGCCCTCCTGTGTCTGTGGAAGTTTCTGTTTTTCTGAGTCCCACAATGGTTTAGAGGCATTTGGACAATGCCCTTCATCACATGCTTTAAGTTTTGGGCAGCCCAGGAGTGCTATGGGAGTTACATTGTAGGTCATTTCCAACAGAGAAATGGAAATGACTGGTCTGTTTTAGACAGAAAAAATATTTTCAGAAATCTGTTCTCTATTTTCCTAGTGAATGTGACTTGGGTTCAAACATTGTAAAAGAGAAATGAGAATGTAATAATTTTGAACCTGATTTAAGAAATCCAGTGTTGTCAGTATCATATAGAGCTGGAAAACTGTTCTGGTTGAGGTAGTTTTTCTGATTTAATTTGCACTATTATTAACATTAATTAACTTTCACTCCAAAAAGTTAAAGAAAAAGGAAAAAACACATTAAGGCATGGCTCATTTCCGAATTCTTTTATTCAACAGAATAAGCTGCAGAGGACTTAATTCTTCTCCACATCTTTATTTATTGCTTAAGATGCTTATTTAGCATGCTAGTTTCAGAAATCAAGTGTTCTTTCCTGGTGGAACCATGTTATTTGGAGAATAAATACTGTTTTATCTGTGAATTTATTTTTTGAGCTCTGTTAATGTGTGGGTTTTGGAAACAGCATAAGTATTACATTGTATTGGTATTTCCCAAGAAATAGATTTTTTTTTTTTTTTTTTTTTTTTTTTTTTTTTTTTTTTTTTTTTTTTTTAAATTGAATTTTTCAATGAATGGCTGCTTTGGTGTTGTGATGTCACTGCATTGTTTGTTTATGTTATTTTTATAAATATTTTATATGTCTTGAGAAAATAGAAGTATACTGTGTTTTATTAAAACCCTTTTTAATTGAACAGAACCTGTTCACAGTTGTAATTGAGAGTTTTTGTCTTAATTTTGGTTTTAATGCTTTATTTCTCAAATTGCAGTGCTTTTCTTATTTTTCTTATTTCTATTATGTAGCAAAAATGAGCCTTATTCTTTAATCTGTGTAGCAAACTGCGATGACAGAACAGTCAGTGTTCAGAGTGAGGCCACTCTAAAAAAATCTAGAGTGATTGGCACCTAAAATGAGTTGTTTTCTTCTCTGCTTTTCTGTATCTTTGTTAACAAGAACTTAAAACTCATTTTGGGATCGAAATTAAGGGCTCTGTGCTCAATCTGGATATGTTATTAACACCTTCTTTTAGCAGTTAACAAGCACAAAATAAAAAGAACTCATTTATTGAACAAATATGGCCAAACTTTAGTAGATAGTGAAATGTTCTTTGATTAGGTTTGGTTGTCCTTACTCTTGCATAGCTGAAGAAAATAATCCTTTCACAGTAGATTTTTGATTAAAACAAAAATGTTTTCCTGGAAAAATAAATTGCTGAGAGGTTCCTCTCCAGTGTGTTTGGTCAGATTGAAGGTTTAAATGGCAGTGGAACTCCAACAATCTGAAGGAAGGGTGGCCATGTTCTCATTGTTTTAGCTGTTATCTGGAATTGTTCCAGAATGATCCAGATCCATAAATAAAAATTAATTTGACTGCTGCACAAATCTTTATTCCTCTATGCACCCTGGTTGTTATTTATACAGAAAATATTGTCATTTGCATATCATGAGGAGAGAGGTTTCTGAAGTTTCTGGGAGTCAATGGCTACAACACTGTTTGGTTCTTGCCTGTGTTTGTTTTTATCAGGAAAAAATGGTAGTGCTAACAGCAGATGTCTTTGGAAAATGGTGTGTTTCTCCACGTGTCTCACACTCATTTTATCTGGAGTGTCATGTTGTTTTAAGTTGCAGCATATGTAGGCCAACAAAAGCTGACATACAGGAAAGCAGCACAATGCAGGGTAATGATATGTGACACATCCAGACTGAGAAGGAAATTCACTTTCTTGGAGCTAATACCCACTGCTCACAGAGTTTGCCATGATCAAGCTCTCCCCTATGCAATCAGAAAATACCTATGTGGAAATGCTTATGTAAAAAACTGCTGGTTTGTTTTGAAAAAAGCCAGTAAAATCATCAAGAGTCTTTGAGATGTTGATCCATAATTCAATCCTGATATTTTTCTCTTATTCAAAAACTATTCTTATGTAGCAACAGCAAATTAATCTTGATATTTTCCCTTACATTTTAGTCAAAATATTAATATTTAATGTTATCCATATTTGTGAAAGGTCAAGTTATGTGCTCTTATTCAGGTAACTTAAACAAAATACAAGTAGATGAAAAATTTAAAACTCCAAATAAATGAAAGTATAAGTCAATTATTAGTCTGAAGATATACCATGATCTGAGTTTATTTACTCAATTAAAATGTGGATGGAACATTGAAGCAGGAGATAAATGTTTTGGAATATATTGTGTATTATATATTTGGAATATATAGCTTATACAAGCTGATAAACAGCAGGATAGTCACTGTTATTGATTGGTGAAGAACTTTTTTCCTTAAGGAATAAAAGCCCCCCGCTGTTTATTGTATTCCTCCTACTGAAGGGGTTTATTTTAAAGTAGAATATAAGTGATCCTAAATTGAAAATAGCTTCACTCATGTGAAAAATCTGAGAGAAGGCTCAAGAAAAAGTCATGTAACTGAAGCTGTTGGAATTCTTCAGTACAAATCAACATCAAAACAACTAAATGTTTTAATATTACTGAGTATTCTTAAGATGCAAGGAAAAGAAATCTTCTCAGGACTCAAAGTTTTGGTATTTTGCTTTCCACTTGAGCTTAGAAGGATCACCCAATGTCTGGGTTGTCCATTCAGAACTGGCTTTGGGATGTAATGCCCAAGTGTTTAACTGCTGTAGTATTCCCTGCCTTGTAAATGAAATTACTTGTGTTTATTCACTAATGAATGATGGAACAGAAAAATATGGCTTTTCTTGTACTTGTTGTACATTTCATTCTTTGGCCACAAGGTTTTAAGGGATCATTGATTTCAATTTGCTAAAGTGTTACCTGTCATTTTCATAGTTTCTGGTCTTGGTCTAATTTAGTCTACCTAATATCTACGTATTTTCTGTAAAAAATAGTGTAGGTGCTCACAGAACCTTAAACTAAAATTTCCATCATAAATAAAAAATATTTCCTGCTAGTAGAGTTCTGCCCATTTCATCATGAGGACAGTGGGATTGAATTGAAGTAGCTTGAATTGAAGCAGCACCTGAGAAAATTAGAAGAATAAAGAAATAACATTGAACACTTGTCCGTAGTGCAAAATCTGGATTCTACAAGGTTAAGTAGATGCTTCAAATTCAAAATATCATAATTTGTGATTGTCTGTCTTTTTTTATTTGGGACATTTTGCCACATAAGCAAGGACCACAAGAGCATTAATGAGGCAAATTGACTTGACTGAGGAACTAAACCAGTAAAATTTACTCAGATTTCAAAACCGTCAGGAAGGCTTTTTCTGTGCGTGATTTGTCTTGATTTCAGACTATTATGAATATTCTGAAATAATATATTTCATATAGATATTTCTGAATACATAAAGTCTTTTAATGTACTACAAGGAAACGTACCAAAATGTCACCTATAAATAATATTACCAAAAAAATATTACCAAATAATAAATTACCAAAATATCATTGCCAAAAGACAGGGTTAAAAAATTTTATTTCTTTGTACTTAGAAGAATTTTCATTTTGAGAGCTGTTTGCCTTTATTCTTAAAACGGTATATATAGTATTCAAATATTTTTAGTTTATTTTAATTTTAGTGCATATAAAAAGGTCATTGTTTAACCCTGACTTTGAAAACTTTGTGGAACACAAAGTCCTGTGACATTGGTACACCAGCAGCCACTTTCCCCACTGTTCCCTGGTGTTCAGACTGCTGTGATTCTGCTGATGTAGCTGATGTTTTTCCTTCGTTATTCCTCTGCCTTTGTCCTTTCCTCCAGGCTTACCCTGAGTTTGTCCTGACCTACCTAGAGGAGCTAAATGAAAGAGAGGAGGTGACCCAGACAGAAAACCACATTCACCATGGGGCCTGGGCTGCAGCCCATCAGGAGATAGACAGCAGCTCAGCAGAAGAGGTCACAGCATTAAGCCAGAGGCAGGTCAGAGACAGTCCTTTCAAAAACCCAGTTTGGAAAGAGAAATATCAGTGTGGAAGCTTATTTCCTGTAAAAAAAACCCTATTTGATGTCTTAATTTAATAAGGTTTTTATATATCAGGCAAATAATAGCTATATGTGGAATTATAGAGGAATAAAAAGCTACATATATTTGTCTCAGAGTTTATTCTTATAGCCTATGTAAGACAACTTTTTGAAGTTTACTATTTTCTATGAGAAAAAAACTAATAAAGAGAAACAAACAAACAACACAACAACAAAAAAAAAAAACAACCACCAAACCACCACATCTCTAGATTTGTGCTTCTTGATGCATCTTGACATAGCTATTTGTATTTCTGACATTTCCTGCTAATCAACAGCCTAGCTTGAAAAAGTAGACACACATTATTTTAATTAGCAACGTATAAATTGCATGGTTGTACTTCCATCTCTTAGGTCCTGCAAAAAAAAAAAAAAAAAATGTCAGCAACCCCAATCAGAAACAACTTTCAGGACCTTTGGACGCCCATTTAATGCCTGCAGATCCCCTGGGGGAGACTGCACAGCTGACAGTGGCACTGGTGAGGAAACTGGAAGAGAAACATCCTAAGGCCCCAGCTCAAAGGTAAGCCACTGACAGAACTGATATTTATTGTTCAATGACATTAGATGTTTTCCTTCAGTTTCATGTAAGATTGATTTCCTGGATATTATTGAAATATCTCAGAAACCCTCTGGCTGATAAGCAAACGGGGATTTTGACCAAAATTAATGAAAAGGGGTGACATTTATGTGCTTATTCTCCTTTTTTTTTTTTTATTTTTTATTTTGAAGACTGATGTGGATGATGTTTGGTAGCAATTGCAAGTTTACTTCTAATTTTTTTTATCTACAAACCTCACATGGTGCAAATGATAAAAATAAATAGGACTTGTGTCATCATTGTGACATATTTTGTGGCACAAGACTTAAATTTAGATGGTAAAGGTTTGTTAGAAACCTGAAAGTCATGCTGAGCCAAAACACTAAGTGACAGTTACTTTCCATGTAGGACTGGATTTTAATTTCAATAAAAGATAAAGAGTAGTGTTCTTAATTGCTTCTACTGACAGAAAGCAGAAGACTTTGTCTTGCTTTAGATAATTGGAACTGTCTTTTACAAATGGAATTTGGCTAGTTATTTTTGAGGTTTTGGGTATTTTTAGAGCAAAACACAATAAAATGGAGCTCCAATTCAGATCACAAGACATCACTTGCTATCAGGAATGAAGTTGAATTTATGAAGTTGTTGTTACTACTGGCAGTAAGTTAATGGCAGTAATTTGAGATGATTCTGTGACTCTTCCCTTGGAATAATTCTCCTTAGAGAACCCATAGATTGGCTCCTCTAGTCTTCCTTCAAGGACTATGGTTTCATGTATTTCCTTTATAATATTAGTTTATAGGTATTGTTTTGTTGTTGTTGTTGGGTTTTTTTGGGTTTTTTTATCTATTATGTTTTTTAAAGTCCTCTTTCAAGGACTTCAATTCCAGGTATTCCTTTATCATATTATTTTACAAATATTAAGACTTCTGGTGTCTGAAATGTTTTTCAAAATATGCCTGAAGGCTGTGCCATGACTGAGGTGTTTGAAAGTGTTTGCTGTCAGAAGCTTTTGGGGAGCTGCATAGGTAGAGGTAGCTCACCTGTATTTTGGGTAGTTTTATTTTTATTTGATGAATCAAATAATTCTGAAGCTTTGTCAAAAATAAATTATTAAACTGCTGGTGAATAATCTTTTTTGTTTAAAATGTAAACTCTATTTGCTAATGCTATACTGACTCTTTCAAAAGATGCCATATGCAAAGTAATATAAAGACTTAACCACCATCATTTGCTCCTCTGTGCTTTGAGTATGGATTTTTGTGCTTTAAATATGTATTGTGATATCAAGGTCACTATTTAACTTCATTTAAGTACAATGGAATAAAGGAATTTTCAAGTAAATATCTATTCTTTTAGGTTCAGATAACAGGATATCAATATTAAGGAAAAAATCTCTTCTTGCAGAACAAACATTTTTGATTTAGAAAGCTCTCTGCAGTCAAGATCTTCCAAAAGGAGACTTCTGCAGCCTGGAGCATTTCCTTGAACTTAAATTAGTTGTAGGAAAATGCATTTTAATACCAAAATAACATTATTTTGCTGTCAGAAATACCAATTATAACTAATTCAAAACTTCTGCAGTTCCCACTGTTAGGGAGGTACTAAGTGATTTGAATTCTCTTTACTGCAATTTTCCACTAGACACTCGTAAGTACTGATGTATTCTGTTAAACAGCTGCCACATCCCACTCTGTAGTTTGCAGAATCCTTTCAGAGACTGAAAGGTGATGAAAGATTAGGAGACAGGGTTTTATCTCCTGTGATTTGAAAAGCTGCTCAATTACCAAATAGCAAAACTTTCTGCCTTCCTTCACAAAGTAACATGAAAAAGTGCCATGAGCACAAATGAGGTTTGAACTGTGTGTTAGAGGAAAAGGTGTCTGTGTTGTAGAACTGTTTTAGTTGGTCCAGCTACAGGAGGTGATGAAGATTATGATCCCTGTTCCTCCAAACCTCACCTGGTTCTTGTGAAAAGATTCTGCTTAACAGCCCTGCTCAGCAGGTTTGTTGATTTTTTTTTTGTGAAACTGCTTTGCTGAGAGGGAGGGAAGGAGACTCAGCTCCCCAGACACAGGTGTGCAGAGGAATTTGGAGGTCTTTTATGCTATCACCAGGCATCCAGCTGCTTTGGAGTGCTGCAAGTCTTCTGCCAGCACTGGGATGGATTTGTGGGAACTGTGCAGATCCTTGGGGTGACAGTGACTATCCCAAATACCAGCCAGTGTTTCCCTTTAAGCCATTGAGTCCTGCCCTAAAGATTTTGTTTTCCAGCCTAGTGTCATAGCAATATACATTTCAGAGATTTAATTCTTAGAGTTTGCTTCCTGAGGAACAGCCCCCTTTCACAGTGAGCCACAACAGCCAAAAAACCCCTTACTCTATAAGATGGGATGGGGAGGATGCTATAATAGGGTTTAGTTTCAAAGAATATAATTAATTAGATTGCAAGGCTGTCTGTTTGCGTAGTTTTCATACTTTCAGAGTTTTTTCCTTATTTATTTTTGCTGGTGGAAGGCTGCACTCAGTCCCCTTCTTACCTGCACATTGTTCAGCAAGCTGCACACTTTTCTCTGATATGTGTTAAGGTAATAATGAAATGAAGTTGTTGTTTTGGGGTTTTTTTGTTGTTGTTGTTTTTTGGGGGTTTTTTTGTCTCTTATTTTAGTGGTCTTAGCAAGTCCTTAGTATCTTTGCAGACATCTTACTAGTGTTCTTTCCAGTGTTGTTTACTTAATGCATCTCACACTTGTGAAGTTTTGCATGATACATGATGCCTGTAAGATAGAAAAACATGGGCTTCATCTCTGATTTACCAGGCTGAACCCCTGAGTTTCCATGTGAAAGATGGAAAACTTGTCCATTCCAACAAATACCGTGGAGGAAAAAGTGACAAGTCCCAGACAGACTTTGTAGACATGGAGGATCCAAGCTGCTGGGAAGAACTGGCTTTTAGGGTAAGTTTAGGTAGAGCATTGAGCTGCGACTGTGATTTATGCACAAAAACTAATGACTTAACTAAGTAACTGATGGCCACTGGGTTCCTTGCCGTCCTTATTCTCACTGTTTGTATGTGGAAAATGGCTAATCCATTGCCATTCAAAAGTAGTTTGTTTTTTTTTTTTTTAATTATATATTATTGTCTTTGCTGGTTTAAGATAATAATTAATGCTTTAGGTGTTGTGGAAATGTAACCCCTGTAACTTCTGGCAGTGTTTTAAGTTCCTTCTCTCATTGTTGGGCTTTTACATGTTGAGCCCAACTAGGAGAGTAAGAAAGTGCCCTTGTATCAGCTGCAACAGATTTGTGCTGTCCTAGCAGTACACTGAATGTGAGAATTGTCCCTTTGAAGGGTGCTGGTCACCTTTCTGAAGTTAATCACCTGTTTCTATGCAGCTTTAGTTTCAGGCCTTGTTGGATCCCTTTGTTTCTGTAAGTAAGCTTGGTTTCACAAGCTTCTGGGTACTTGGTCTCTAACCTAGACCTGCTTTTAGGTGTGTTCTGGGTTGGGTACAAGCACTCTTGGATCCGAGTCAGAATCTTTATGACCTTGTCACATTTACTACCTAGGCAGATCCATCTGGGACACTTGGTTTCATTTTAACTGTCCTGAATCACTTGGGCAATTTCAGTGGTTATATTTTTGTAAGAATTGCTAGTGTAGGGAAAATGACTAAGGAATAGCCCCAAGGAAATGGAAACCTTCTCCCACTTCCATTGTTACAGCTAAGCAAATGCTTGACCTTGATTCTTGATACTCTGTTCACTCATTTTAAACTCCATGTGGGCAAAACAGAGGAAAAAGTCATGATCTATGTCTGTATTGTAAATTGGTTGCTCCATGAAGACAGATAAGAACGCATTAGAAGCACTAATTTATTACTGGAGTCTTTTAAAAATCTATTTATACACATTTACTAAAAAAAAAAAAAAAACCCAAAAAACCAAAAAAACCCGCAAAAACATGCTTTAGACCTTATTTTCTGCATTTTAGAAGTCTACTTTCGTTTTAAGTAACCCTTCAGATTTCTATTTGAGTAAAGCATCTTTTCACTGAGTTGCAATGATATTTCATGATGTGTCTGCCATGTGAGCGTTCTAAAGGTTAAAACTTCGAATTGGTGACAAATTAGCTTTCATTATCTGCTTTAGTCACATCTTGACAAAATTATTCTAATAGCTGTATCTGCTACAGATCCAAATCCAGTTCCCTGTTTCCCACAGAGAGGAAATCTGAGATCGGAGCTGTCCATCTGAAAAGGCAGGTGTATTGAGCAGCCCACTCCCATGTGCAGGGAGCATTCCCAGCTATTTGTTGACATCAGTGTGCTGATTTGAGCAGCTTACCTTTATTCCAGAG